ATGCCGGACTGGATCCTAAGACCTGGGATCATGCCCTGCGTTGAATGCAGATGCTCAGCCACTGAACCACCCAAGCGTCCCAAAACTAGGTTCTTTTTAAAATTGGATCAGTATACTTTTTAGTAGAATCTTTACAAAATGGGGTGTGTGGGTGGCTCAGTCAGTTGAGTGTCTGACTTTGGCCCAGGTTGTGATCCCAGGGTCCTGGAATTGAGCCCCACATCAGGTTCTTTGAGGAGAGCCTGCTTCTCTCTCTCCCCTTGCCTGCCACTCTTCCTGCTTATGTTCTCTGTCTCTCTCTCTGCCAAATAAATAAATAAATGAAATTTTTAAAATCTTTGCAAAACAATCATATGGGTGCTTACATAGTGGTAAGAGAAAGAACAAATGTATCTTTGCAGCTACTTATGCAATAGAAAGTCATTGCCAGAGGCCCTGTTTAAAAAGCCCTATTTGTGTAAAGAATGGATTAACTAGAATGATTGCTATCAAATATTAAAAATTATCTACAAAATATTGAATTTGAAGTTACAGACTTCATGTTACTACTTAACTTCCAAACACGGTGGTATTGGCTGCCATGTTTATGTTCCATTTTATCAAGTGGGTTTTTTTTTTTTTTTTTTTTTCCCAGCAAGATCAGAAGAGAGAAAGATGAAAAAGGTAAACCCATTATTTGGGAGAAATGAGCGTCTATTAAGAAAGTTCATGTTACTGAAAATTGTATCCTCAACCTGCCAGGTGCTATGTGCCATCTCCTGCTCTCCTCTGTCACCCTGACCTTTCTGTGGCTTTTGCTGAGCTTGTGCCCCACCACCTGCCTCATGGTCAGACTGTCCTCACCTGCCTTACTTGACACTCTATTCTTCTTGCTTTCTGTATCCCTAACGGTTCTTTTCTTTCTTTTCTTTCTTTTCTTTTCTTTCTTTTCTTTTCTTTTCTTTTCTTTTCTTTTCTTTTTTTTAAGATTATTTATTTATTTATTCATGAGAAACAGAGAGAGAGGCAGAGACACAAGCAGAGGGAGAAGCAGGCTCCATGTAGGGAGCCTGACGTGGGACTCGATCCCGGGTCTCCAGGATCAGGCCCTGGGCTGAAGGCGGCGCTAAGACTTCTGACATTAAGCTTGTTGATCCATTTTGTTTTTCTGGAATAGATCCTATCTCATATGAAACACTGTGTGTGTGTGTGTGTGTGTGTGTGTGTGTGTGTGTGTGTTTGTATGATTTGCTAATACACAGCTCTCCTTAGCGATGTTTTCAGCCATGTTCTTAAATGAGGTTATACAATGATTTTCCTTTCTCATAATGTCTTTATGCAGCCTTACTAGCAAGATTATCAGGATCACAGTTGCCTCCCATCTGCATTAGGAAGCTTTATCTCTTTGTCTCATCTTTGAAATAAGCTGTATAGAGTTGGGATTCCATGTTCTTTAAGGGGTTGTTGGAATGCACATGTGGAACTGAGGTACAGTTTCTCAAAGAAGGGACAGGCTCAGTTTACTATACATTTTGTCTTGGGTGTTTGACACTGTCATAACAAGAGTGTAAGGAAAATGTATTTTGAAAGGTTATTTATTTACTTACTTATTTATGAGGGAATTTGTGTTTACTTCCAGACAGAGGGAAGGAGCCTGGTAACATGGGAGATATTAGAAGAGAGAACAGGTGATTTAGGGAAGGGACCAAAGGAGAGGGAAGAAGTGGGATGAGCAGAGGAGGAAGGGCTGGTCTTGGCATAGAGGAGAGCGCTCTGGCCCCTGATCTTGCCAGGAAAGTGGTGGAGAAGGGGTGTTGGGACAGGCGCATTCTCAGTTAGGGATGAGTTGGTGCTGGAGCTTTCTCTCCAGGCCTTCATGGTAGTCCGTCAGGTAGAGGCTGTGTGATATGCAAAGTCAAGATAGCCAGACTTGGGGGAATGCACAGGAAAATCAAAAAAGAAAGAAGAGAATGTGCAGATCACTGAACTGTGATCTAGTGCTGACCATAAAAATCCCCTGGAAGCATTTTGGAAATTAAAATACAGAAAAGGGAACAATAGTGATAAATCTATATGTTGTTCACTTGTCTTTCCCTGTCTTTGGGCCTCGTTTTATTATTCGACGGTGTTTTAGGAAGCCGTGTAGCCCTCCTCCTTGCTCAGTGTAGGAACCAAAACTTAAGTGCGTCTCCTCATCCTGGTCGCTGTTGTCCACTCTTCCCGTTCGTCTAACAGAAAAGAGAGACTCACGCATGAGAGACAGGTTCACTGATGCTCTCCTAATGTCTTTTTGCAGCCCCCTCTCCCCTTAAATGGCTCATGTTTCTACCCCTCCAGCGCAAAGGTCAGCCTGTGCCTCTCTGTTCTGGCCTCATGAAACCTCCTGTTCTTCCCCCCTTGAGTCAACATGTGTGCCTGGCTCTGGGAGCTGTAAGTTTGGGAGAAGAGAGCCCTAGAGGGACACTCAGGAGCGGGGACTCAGTCCCTGGCAGGGCTCCCTGGGCATGAGTTTCCTGCCTGTGTGATGAAGCTCTTGACCTAGAGAGCTCTCCAGGCACCTCTAGATGTTAGCCATGCTCAGCAATGGCTCTGGGGTCATCCTTCACACGTGACCTTTCCTGTTGTTGCTGCTGAAACTGTCCTCTCTCTCTCTCAGACCACCCTCACCTCCTGATGCCTGTGTCTTGTCATCATTATCTTCCTCTTCATTCAGTCTTGGAAAGATTTTGTTATCTTCATCTTGTTACCTGAGCCTTACCTCCAGTTGGTTATCAGGCCCCTGAGGCTCCCCCACCACATCCTTCCATTCGCGTAGCCGCTACCTAGCGTGTATGCTGGTGCTTTCCAACAGCTAACATTCCTGCCCCCATCCTGCCCACCAGTGGCCCAGGCACTTTCCTAGGATACCTGCTTTCATCTGTCAAGTACTTGCTTGAGAACATTTCAAAGCCTCTCTGGCATGGGTGAAGCCAAGTCCAAACGTGTTAACCTGTGAGCAGATATTTTTACAGTTATATTTAAAGACACCTGCCAGTGGTTTCTTGAGTTACTGTCCCTTTCTCTCTTCTCTGTTTACCCTCTCTCCTTTCATTGTTCATTGTTCATTCTTCTTCTCTTGAATTCACTGACCCATTGCTCTTTCATTATTGCATCATTCATTCTGGCCTCCCACATTTTGGGTACTGTGCTGTGTGCTTTGCAGACAAAAGAGCCTTTGGCTCCCTCTTCCAGAAACAGAACTGATGAGGCATGGTGGGCAAGAGGATGAGCAACATGGAATATGGCCTAGGGGCACCGTAGCATCCCGAGTCTGACTGTACATATGCAGTCAGATCTTTCCTTTCCTCTTATCTAGGGCCTCCATCATCTCTTGCTTTTATGTGTGAGTACTTTCTATAATATTACAAATGCCTGTAAAAATCTTCTATTTAGGGGATCCCTGGGTGGCTCAGTGGTTTGGCGCCTGCCTTTGGCCCAGGGCGCGATCTGGAGTCCTGGGATCGAGTCCCATGTTGGGCTCCCGGCATGGAGCCTGTTTCTCTCTCCTCCTGTGTCTCTGCCTCTCTCTCTCTATGTCTATCGTGAATAAATAAATAAAATCTTAAAAAAAAAAAAGAGATCTTCTATTCATAGACACTGTGCTTAAAGATACTAGCGCTAGTTCCCTAACTGAATTACGAACTCCTGAAGCACACCATTTATTAACAACTTTTTATAGCTCCAGGGCTTTGTACATATTCTACTATAATTAAGTGTTTTCTTTTAAATGACTTGGCTATAAAATGAGTAAATTTATAGAAATTTCTAAAAAGAATCAAGACACATATTAAAAATTCAAGGCCCAAATACAAGTCTCTATAGAACTCAACCCTGGTTTCCTCTATGTGGACTAGAACAGCTTTCCATCCATGACCTTTTTTTCCTTCAATAACTAGTAGCAGAGAAGTGCCATACAGAGCCATTCCTGGAAAATAATCCATCTCAATCACATCAACAAAGGTGTTTGTGTGGGACACGTTATGTGACGTGGGCATATTTCCATATTAAATCTGGTTTTGGCATCTGCTTTTGTTAAAAGACATTATTCCTGTGCGATACCAATGACTTTGTGGGTGTGACATTAGTCATGTGCCTCTTTAGTCAGTGTGATATCACTCAAAATCGTAAATCCAAGAAAAAAATGACAGATAACATGGCTAATTGTCAGGAATAATGATAAGGTGAGGCACAACTGGCAGGCAACTCACAGAGTATTTTTGTGGTATTAGAAATGTGCTAATAAAAATTGCAAAAATGGCTCTTGAAGCAGCATTCTCTTGCTCTCCAATGCTGTCATGTTACAATAAATGGACTCTAGGCTGGAGGCCATATCATAGGAGTCTTGTGAAACAGTCTTGTGAAAAACCTGTTTCTAAAGGGTGGCTATTTCTTGGTTTCCCTTAGGAAAAAAAATGCCAGCAAGCCCTAGAAGTAACTAGATTTCTCATCTAGAAAGTTCTGTATGTGTTTAACATGCCTGATCATGGGGCCAAAATAGAAACCTGAAGACAGGGACCTATACTGTTCTCCTCCAAGGAGGGCTCCTGGTACCCCTGTGTTTGTCCTGGATCCCCAGGAGGGCTTTGTGATTCTCAAGTCTTCAGTTCTTGCCAGTGAGCACACACAGGAAATGGTCTTGTTGGCATTCAGTATTCCCTTGATGAAGCCTGTGAATGCTGCATGATTTTCAGCCCAGGCCAGAGCCCAAAGGAAAATGCACCTCTGGCTTGTAAATCACACCCAAGTGCGGATGCTTTGCTCACTCTTTATTGGGTGACTGCCCTCTATGTTTTACACATTCTCAGTATGGATTATGTGACATTCTGATGGAAACTTCCAGTGGCCCCTAAGCGCTCACATTAGGGGACCTCCAAATCCTCTCTGAAATGTAATGTTTGCTACCTGATGTGCACTTTTTGTGGTCCCTGGAGGAAAAAAATCATTCATTTTTATCTTTTCATTTATTTATTTTTCCTATTTAGAAATTGGCCCCTGGTTACGGGAGTTCAGAGCGAAGAATGCTGTGGATTTCTCGCAGTTAACATTTGACCCAGGACAGAAAGAACTTGTTGTAGGAGCAAGGTGAGAGATCTTAATGTTTTGCCACCACAGATAATTTTGGATTTCATTTGACATCGATGCAGCTACACATGAGCTTCTCTGCCATAGTTGATGAGTGCTAAGTAATACTTCTAAGAATGAAATATGGAATAAGGGTACCATAAAGTATGCTACTAATAATAGGATGACACCTGCTCTTTGTAGTAAGGTGCTACACCCATTTATTGGGTGCTCCTCATGTGGCAGGAACTGTTCTGACAGGAACTAATTCATTTTTTTCCGTGAAAGCTGAGAGGTAGGTATTGTCAACATTCTGATGGTAGAAATGAGGACATTGAGGCAGGACATATTATGATGTCTAATAAAAGCTGGACTCAAGATTTCAGATGCAGGCATTTTTTACTCCAGTCTCGGTATGTTCTTTAGGAAAATTCTAGAGTCAAGAGGTTCATTTGACATCCATTCCAATGCCTATTGTTACCTTTCTCTGAGACCATGATTACACCATTTACCGGTCTATTGAGAATTCAAGGAAATTGTTATTATTTACCTCTTTTAAGGTCCTATATCCAGGTCAACACTTGACATTCCAGTTTAATGAGGAGGCTGCTAGAACACCATCAGAACAGATCTTGAATTGTTGCTCTTCTGTTTATCATTACTTCTTCAGAAAATAGGCATAATCCTTGCATTCAAATCACTTATCCTGCCAATGTATTTTGAGGATGATGTATGAAAAATACTTCATACCATTTTCTTCTGAAGAATGCTAACTTTGAAGAAAGAGGCCATTTGGACTCTTCTGGCATTCTAGCAAAGCACTTTGGGCACTGGAATGGTTATATCTCTTTTGGTCAATTTTACTAGATTATAAAACATACTTTTCATAGCAAGAGAGGATATGCAATTTCCACATATAGCTGAGTGAAGCTCAGTCTGACTTATACTCTGGGCACTCTAGATAAACACTGAACAGTTTCTAGAATAATCGCTTTGGCTCTCAGATCTCAAGGAGCCCTTGTGCATCCACCCAACCCTTGAAGACATTGAGGTGTATGGGCACAACTTCAAAAGCATAGACAGAAGTTGGCTTAGTTCCTAGCACTGAGCATGTCACCTGCATTTCTTTTGATATTTTGGAGTTGACAGTGAGGACAGAGTGGTTTGGTTTACTTGGTGTACTTGGACTTACTTTGGCACGTGAGGAATACATGGGGGACTTCAGGTGCCGACTTCCAACACATTTCATCACTGGGAGCCTGGACCATATGTTGCGGGGGTTTTAATTGGTCCTCTAGCCTCCAGATTTTGTCCTCCTCCTGTGTACCATGGCCAACGCCATCTTTTTTAGAATGCACCCCCACACACTTTGGTAGCTCCTGTTGGATAAATGCTGGTGCTTTGGTGTTGCCCACAACACCCTCTGCCTTGTGGTTGTGGTTCCACATCCCTTACAAACTCCACTTTTTTTTCATTCTCTCATAGCCCAGGCATGTGGAGTTATTTATATTGCCCACCACTGTAAAATGATTCTTTCTTATTCTGGGATTTGGTAACAAACTTCTTTGCTTTCCTGGAACATTAACTACCCCTTCCCCCAAGTTCTCTTACTTGTTGAGCTCATATTTGTAGTCAAGAGTTCTGGCTCAGGAGTCTTCCCCTGGGCCTGAGTTCCTCCATCGCCTGCTCTACGTGGTCTTGTTAGCACACTTCTCATCTACCTTCCTTAACTGCATTACTGCATTATTTTTTGTCGGGTATCACCCACACCCCACCTGCCATTATCAGATACTGACTTACCAGATGGTGGAGGATGTGATGGTCTTTTCTTTGTTTCTCTAGAATGTAGCATAGTTTCTCCCCTGGCAGAAGCATAGAGATACCTGTTGAGTCAATATATCTACCTCAAGGATGTGATTTGTATCTGTGCCACTCTGCATCTGGGAAGATCCTCAGGGGAAAATGGATTGGGTTTTGCAGAAGATTTATCCCAGATTCCCATGTCTGGGCAAGGACACAATGGCATGGCAATCTCTAGCCCCAAAGCTAACCCTTAGGGAAAATGAACTCTTAGTCTTAGGCAAAGGGGAAGGAGCCAGCTGCTGGTGTAGAAGGTGCAAATATGACCTCAGTTGGAAGAGCTGAAACTTCTGTCCTTCATTCAACCCTAAAGAACTTTGGAAAAGTTTTGCCTGTGAGCTTGACTTGAAAGACTCTCCATTGTTTCTGGAGGTGTGTGGTGCTGCACGAACAGGAGAGCAGCACACACATGCTACACCCTGTGGGTGTTTGGCTTTTGGCAAATGACATAGATTCTCCTAATGGATGTGAAAAGCCACTGAGCACATTGGCACTTGGAAGAGATATGTCATGGTTCTGTCCTGATGGGAGACAGCCCTGGGGAACTGTCCACAAGGACACCTGTCCCTGAAGGTATCCATCCCAGTGTCCCTATGTCCACATTCCCAGTCCAGCCATGCTGGAGAGGGATCAGATTAACCACTGAGTCCACCTGGCACATGGTATGGCATGGTGACCAGGAACTACAGGATCCCTGGACTTAGCACATAAAAGTCCAGGAGGCACAATTTAAATTTGAATTTCAGGTAAGCAACCCCAGGAACATAGACTCTATTTTCTGTTCTGGAACACTAGTACATGGACCTCATAGGCATTTGATAAACAAGGAAAAGGAAGAAAGAGGTAGACTGGACTTGCTCAGTTGTGTGACCTTAAGCCAGTTTCCGTGTCTAATTTTCTCATCTTTAAAATTGATGTAATTATTTCTACCCCTGTCAGCTGTTGTGAGGATTTAATAAAATAATCCATGAAAAGTGATTGTCATAGTAAGAGGCACGCAGTAAGCAGGCATCAGTGGGGTAGCTCTGCTGGATGTCCAGGGATTTCGGCATACGTGTGCATGTGCGCTTTTGGCAGACTTCACTGAGCGAGGAATTTTACTAGGAAACTTGATGGGATTAGTCTCAGAAAGTTTGAGAGGGAGTGTGAGCCAGTTATAAAACTTTAAAAATAACTCAGCCCTCAGCTTCCTGTTTGGGAGGGTTTGACCTAGCAAAAAAGTATACATAGCAGGTGCGTATTTAAGAGTTCTGTAATGGTTTAAATATGAAACGTGGGAAAACGATAATAGTCTTTGTTTTCTTATGATGAACACTTGGCATTGCAAAGCCATTTATTGGGTTGTTTCACTTTATGCCAGTGACGCGTTGTCTCTGAAATTGAATTCAGTTAAAGATTCTTTGGACTCCTCACAAAAAGTTCATTGTGCTGTGCTGCAAAAGGAAGACGTCCCTTTAAGTGATTTTTGGTTATATAGTCCCAGAAGGTACTTGCATCTTGAGTTCGTGGAGATTCTGGAAAGATCCCTAAATTTACTATTTCCAAGGTGCACATTATCTTTTATATTATTTTAATAGCATTGACATTCATATATTGTTTCACCAAAGGGTTCTATGAAAATTAAAATAGCATTTGGGTTTTTAATGACGAGACTGAAGCATTTTAGAAAATACAGTTAAAGCATAAAGAAAAAAGACCACAATTTTGGAAATAATCACAGTTTACCTTTTCAGTTATTTCCCCACATTATTTAATTTCTATTTGTTTGTATGATTGGAATAATATTTTATGAATGATTTCTTTGTCAAACAGCCTACTAAAGGCAGTTTCCATGACATTTTATCGTATTTTTCGTGATCTTTTATATATAGGAAGAAAAATTCCAAAGTAAAGAAATATGTTTTGGTGTAGAGGTTTTGTATAATAACTATAAAAATATTGATATGAATAATAGTTCACAAAGTTGACGTAAGTCTAAGTTCTGTTGCAGATAGAATTGTAAAGCTGGAAATAAGCAGGTGATTATATTTTTATTTTTTTATTATTTTTTTAATAAATTAATTTTTATTGGTGTTCAATTTACCAACATACAGAATAACACCCAGTGCTCATCCCGTCAAGTGTCCCCCTCAGTGCCCGTCACCCATTCACCCCCACCCCCCACCCTCCTCCCCCTCCACCACCCCTAGTTCGTTTCCCAGAGTTAGGAGTCTTTATGTTCTGTCTCCCTTTCTGATATTTCCCACACATTTCTTCTCCCTTCCCTTATATTCCCTTTCACTATTATTCATATTCCCCAAATGAATGAGAACATACACTGTTTGTCTTTCCAAATGAATCTGTCTTTATTGTGCCAAGTTCACTGCAAGGATGATAAGTGATTCTGTACTAAATTCAAATGTTATTCTAAATGGCAACAAACTTGCTTTGCATCCAACCTAGTGTTTGATTATGATCAAATATAATTGGGGCATTTACTGATAAACCACATTTTTATAAAGCATAAAGCCGTATAGTAGTAATGAAAAGTGCCTCTCATCAAAGAGAAGTGAGTTTCTTTCCTTTCCTTTTTTTTTTTTTTTTTTTTGGTCTTTCAGTTGATTTTTTTTAAAAAATAAAAGATTTATTTACTTATTTTAAAGAGAGAGAGAGAGAAAGCTCAGGGGTGGGGAGGGGCAGAGGAAGAGCAAGAGAGAGAATCTGAAGCAGACTCTGAGCTGAGTGCAGAGCCCAATGCCAGGCTCAGTCTTACAAAGCTGAGATCATGACCTGAGCCAAAAACCAAGAGTTGGACTCTTAACTTACTATACCAGCCAAGTGCCTCTCAGTTGATTTGTGACTATTTTACTCTTCTCTAACTAGCTTCAGTGCAATATAAACATATAAATTGAAGGGCATAGTCTCATAGCCTATGATATTTCAATAAGAACCCTCACCCATAAGCTTTCATACAAGCACCTTGGCTTCCAGGAGGCCCAATCATTTGCCGGTTGTTTAAGGTGGTAGGATTGAAGCTCATAGACTCAATACTTGGGTTGGGTCACAATCACGATTGATGATAATTGTAACAACTTATGACCTTGGAAATTTCACATTTTAATTCTATTAAAGTCACATTATGAAATGGATGCATTAGGGAGAGACCAAGGGAAAGGGTAAAT